GGGTTTTCTCTGGAAGTTTTTCCTTGTACGATGTGAGGGTCTAAGGACAGAGGGTGTCGTATTGTCATACTGATATTCTGTACAAACCGTGAAGTCCACTGAGACAAATGTAACATTTGTGATATTGGGCTATATAAATAAACATTGATTGATTGATTGACACCCTCTGTCCTTAGACCCTCTGTCCTTAGACCCTCTGACCTTAGACCCTCACATCGTACAAGGAAACACTTCCAGAGAAAACCCACAGTTTAAAGGGGAACATGGGAGAAACCTCAGGGAGAGCAACCGTCAGGCAGGACCGCAGAGACAGGTTCAGCCACGACTCGAAGTCCAGGACTAAGATCCAGTGCTCAGGATAGAGGATCCAGGACTCACGACCACAGCAACAGGATTAGCCTCGACTCAGGATCCCGGCGTATATATGGACACAAAAAAGAGATTTGGGGGAAACTGGGTTAATCGGAACATGAGAGTACACAGGTACAAACAGCCAGAAAGACAAAGTAAGGTGCCCCCCCCCAACCGTCCAAGCCTATAGCAGCTAAACTAACGTGTCTACATACATGCACTCCCTTAGGATAGGGTGAGGGAAAAGGGTAGCAAGTAGGAAACAGAGGTGGAGAGGCACACGCAGGGAGAGAGGTCTCCACTGGAACCTGAATTGGTCAGAGGTAAGGAGTGGGTCAGTGACTGCGTTCCACACTCCCCGGCCGGGCTAAATATAGATAACTAATACGATCAATAACAGGCCATAAAGTATGTTTACCCGGCCGGGGAGTGTGGAACGCAGTCACTGACCCACTCCTTACCTCTGANCGGGAAGACACGTGGGGAGGTATAAATGTACCATTACCAAAACCGGACGGAGGTCTTGCGGCACGGTCGTAGGTGCGTGAACGTCCTCCCGCGATACTTACGCTTATACGATTAATACTCCACCCTATTCGATTCCCATGAATCGCGTTAACTTTTGGAAGAAAATAAGTTAAATGAATCGTAAGTTTAGTGAATAATTTATCAATAGAACGTTCTATTAATGTTAATTATTGAGGATTGATGAAAGTTTACTTATATTTTTTTTCTTAATGTTCTGAACATTTTGGGGCCCCTGTCAGTCACGGGCTCTTAGAATCGTCCTAACTTTTCACCCCCTTACGGCGCCCCTGACTAGGAGGAGGCATGTTATGTGGCAAAGTGACATTTTAATTAAAAAACCATTTATGGGATTATAACCACTAGAGATCATACAAGTGTAACACGTAAACATTGTTATGCTATATATATTTTATATCTCCATACAATTAGTAGTTGTAGTTTTCCAATACGTTATCATAATGTAAGGAAATAAACATAAACAAATAAATTTTAACACTGACTTTTAAAGACATATCTACCTCTTTCTAATAATAGTCGTTGTTCTATTATATTGTCCCACTAAGTCATGACAGTATTCAAGCATGCAATACAATACAAACTGAAGCAGGTAAATGGACTGTAGCTACTCACTACTGTCCTGCATTACAATGCACTATTAGATCACACATGAACGCATTTACACGGCAAAAGCCCTTCATGGAGTTGACCTCAGAACAGACTAATGAGGCGGGTGCATGCATGACAGGAACTGAATGTCAGTGTCAGAGGGCATTGTGTAGCCTTGGCTTGGTCTTTTCACTCAGTCTGCATGAGAAAGAGTCAGTTATGCAGATTGATAGTGCCAAACTTTCTAACTTTAAAGGTCCCATGACATGGCCATTTCTACTGATCATAATTCCATTGTTGAGGTCTACTAGAATAGATTTATATTGTTCAATGTTCAGGAAGCTCTATGCAAGTCAATGGGACTCCCTGATAGTTGAAAATCAACACTAAAGGTCCCCCCACTGCGTTTGATAGTGACGGCCAAGGGATCCTGGTGTGTGAGGAGCTCCACGGATTGGTCCATTTGGACCTGGGACAGCATAGACAGGTATTTTCTGTGTTAGAGTTTTACTCGATACAGGGTGTACTTTGAGGGTTTGTGACTTTGCAGACCGTTTACATGCATAAAGACCTTCATAACACACAAGGGGATGAGAAAAGCCTGACATGGGACCTTTAAGCTTTATACCTCCTAAACTCAACAAGAACAATGGAAGATAAACATTTTTGATCATCTTAGACTTGCTTTACACTATTTTCCCTCTTTTGAGCTCTTCTGTCATCTCTGACTGATTGAACCAGGCTCATTTTGAAAATAGTTATTTTATAAAACTGAAATTTCAAGTTGGTCAATGTACTGTTTCGACAATCTGGAGAAGTAAACTCCTTTATTTTAATTACGGGGTGCTCTGTTTGTTTTATTTTAAATCTAGGAAATACTCCAATTTCTTAATTTATTTCCCACTGGCCGTAACCTTTGTGTTGCTAAGTAACAACTCTGCCTGGCTGCCATTGGATGTCTAGTGTTGCCCGGTTTGTGCTCAGAAAAATAACTCAGTCCTTTCTTCTGTTTACACCTCTCTGCCAAAATCCTGTCTATCTGCTGACTCGTCCATTATTCCCACTCAGTGTTTAAGCCAACCTGTCATTGACATTCAAGCCACAGAGCACTGCCTTATTGGTAACTGAGTCCACTGACTGACCACAAAATAACTTGGGAACCTGAGGAGGAGCTGGGAAACTGTCTGACCAAAAATGTCAGTGTGTTATGAAGAGAAAATAATTGGACCTAAGCCATAGATAAAATTATAAATACAGATAGGCTGCAAATACACAAACTATATCTCACATTTATGACACATTAACACTTAGTTAGAGGGGATTAAAGTGTATCCGCTGTAGTTCTTTGTGACTGATTTGAAATATGTCCATGCAGCAACAGCCAAGCAGATCAGGATTATATAATGATTTGCTTCAGTTCAAATGACGTGTTTTCTCTCTTAAAGCTCACTCTGAATGAAAAGTTGTTTATTCTTAAGATAACTTTTTTTTTTCCAGGGATGAATGCCGCGGTACGTGCCGTGGTTCGAATGGGGTTATATGTGGGAGCAAAAGTTTATTTCATTCATGAGGTGAGCCCAAACTTTGTGATGATAATTGTTAAAGCCTTTTTGTAACTGTTTATAGTTTTATAAATGCCTTTTTTAAAGCCAGTCAAAGTTGGAAATCATGACGTGCGGCCACATCACAAATGACATTATAGCATACCTTTTGTGCGTACCAAATTAGGTCAAAGTGTAATAGGTCAACACTTTTTCGACAACAAATGTATAGGACATCTTTTTTAGCAACTATGGAAGATATGAAAAGCATTTCTGTGTTTCATACTAACGCACTTTAGCTGCACTCTGAAAACTGAAGTGAAAGTACATCTTTGAAGGGATGTTTATTTTGACGAAGCAGATGTTAGGGGGCTTTGTCGAGGGCCCGCGTTCTGCTTACTCATCCTGTGTGATCCCTGCACATCTGTGTATGTCGTGGACCTCCTCACTCACTGTACCGTTACATAACTGACCTGAGGCTTTAGTCAGCACTCACTCCTGTCAGGTACCACATTAATCTGTGTTCTACCACACATTACTGCAACACAAACACACAAAAGGCACCAATAAAAAAGAATGATAGTTACATTTATAGTGCATACTTCCACTATAACCCTTTTCACTTAATCCCTGAGGGCATATTATTACTCCTACAATACAATAACATCATTTAGAGTCTATCTTTCCAGTTGTCTTATTGTTTGGAATTAGAATGTGTTTGGGGATTTCTTGAATTTCTTTTCTAACAAGCTTTGTCTTTTTTAAATCAGGGGTATCAGGGTATGGTGGACGGTGGAGAGAACATAGAGGAAGCCTCATGGGAAAGTGTCTCCAGCATGCTACAAGTGGTGAGTGATTATCACAGGATGCATTTCTCACCCCTAATGAAATTACTGTAGGGGATCTGGAAACAGTTCCCTGAAGGCGTTTTGTTCGTCATCAGGGTGGGACCGTTATCGGTAGCGCCCGCTGTAAAGAGTTCCGCAGCCATGAGGGTCGCCTGAAGGCAGCACACAACCTGGTGCTGCAGGGCATCACCAACCTGTGTGTGATCGGAGGAGACGGCAGTCTGACCGGGGCCAACCTCTTCAGGGAGGAGTGGAGCGGGCTGCTGACGGAGCTGGTGGACCAAGGTACTGAGGAGGAGCTGTGATCTTTACCTCTCCCTCATACTGCTTTTTCTTGAGGGTGTGCTGGAAACCCTGTGTGATGTTAGAAAGCCAAAGGTCACTTACAGATCATGTTTCTATACTGACTCACTGCAACACCTGCTAGTATCAGTGTGCATTTTTCTTTGCAAGTTTGATGTTTTGCACAACCCTCTCTTCAAAGAATGCTGCAAGAATAAGTCTTTCGACCTGGAAATGAGTTGGCATGTTTGCACTTTCTTTTCCTTTTTCTCAAGCCAAAGTTTTTTTGTTGCAAAGGGGTTTTGTTGGATGCCTTTTTAATAAAGTCATGTCAGTTTAAATGCATGCTCTAAAGAGACATTTTTAAGTCTTGTATAGAAGGCGATTACTAAATGGTTTCTTAATGAGACTGTTAGATGCCTCACTGCAGCACTCTATCAAACTTACATCTTTAAGCTTCCCTATAAATACAGTTTTTTTTCCATTATTCTGGCTGTTGACACAAACTGTCTGCTTACTATATGAGACCCTGCCTCTTCATTGTGTTGGATTTTGCACATACATTACATTACATGTTACTTGTTAGACGCTTTTATCCGAAGCGACTTACATACTCAATGCTGTGGGCAATCCCCACAGGAGCAACTTGGGGTGAAGTGTCTCAGGGACACAACGACATGCTGACTGCAGTGGGGTTTGAACCTGTGCCCCCCGATCCCAACACCAACGCACTAGTCCACTGCGCCACATGCCTCCCTACATACACATTGTTCCATGTCATCTACTAAAATATATGTTAGATAACTTGAGGTTGTGCTCTGCTATTGAATTATGTGATGGATTTCTCACACTTATTTTTAATAAAAGGTGCGATTTATAACACCTTAAAATCTCGATTAAATACATTATACAGCAAAAACAATGGCTCAGAAGACTAGGGTATAATCTGAAGAAGTTTGTATTGTAAACCGGTGTTGTTTGTTACTGTAAATAACTGATCTCAGCAGTTCCCATTCCTGCTCATGTTTTAATATTTTGACAACAAGCTATGAGCTTGATTACTGGAAAAATACACTGGAACAATTAACCCTAACGATCCTTTCAGGCTTAATTGAAGCTGATGCTGTTCAGAAGTATTCGGCCCTTCACATCGTGGGCATGGTCGGCTCCATCGATAACGACTTCTGTGGAACTGACATGACAATCGGCACGGACTCAGCTCTGCACAGAATCATCGAAGTGGTGGACGCAATCATGACAACTGCACAGAGGTGAAGAGGAGACGGAGCATTCATATTTAACCATTTATTTACACCTATAATATTTAGTGAGGCTGACGGCAATAGTGTATCCTAAACAATTTTTCTATTTTCTTTCAGTCACCAGAGAACATTTGTGTTAGAGGTCATGGGCAGACACTGCGGGTAAGAATGCATTTGATAAACTCAACATCAGGTCCGAAAACATTCCTCTTAAAGCCAAACAGCGTCCACTATCACCTCTGTTTATACACTCAGTGTTCTGTCTGGGTGTTTTATCATAGCTACCTGGCCTTGGTCAGCGCCCTGGCTTGCGGAGCAGACTGGGTGCTGATACCTGAGATGCCCCCGGAGGACGGCTGGGAGGACAAGATGTGTCAAAAACTGTCTGCGGTAACACTATCTTATTTGTTCCCCGCAGTAAACCCAATGAACCGTACTGTACAAGTGTCATAGCCGTTTTGTTAAACATGACAATTACATTTTTTCTCAGAGGATGGAAAGTTTTTAGTCTCAGTTATAGTATATTTGTTTCTGCTTTGAAATCGTGCCATTGTTCTATGATTCAGACCCGTTCCAGGGGCACAAGGCTGAACATAATCATAGTTGCAGAGGGAGCCATTGACAGGCATGGAACGCCTATTACTTCTGGTATAGTCAAGGATGTGAGTACCTGAGTGCAAAGGAAGGGGAAGCCAGAAGCACGGAGACCCGGATGATGGAAATCAGGCTTCTGGCATCAGGATACTAATAAGCTCCTGATAAGATAATGCCACAACAATGCAGTGATGCCCAGCATTAAGGCCGGCAGGATGCTGCTGATTACAAAGTGCAGACACAAGCTGTCAGCATGAAAGAATATCATTCTCAGCTCCTTGTCAGCATCCTCTGGCCCCCGTGCTTCTGAAAGCCCACGTCGCAGCCACACTCTCAGTTTTTCTGTCATGTTGTTTCTCCACCCCCCCTGCCTCCTTATAGAACCGAGCAGGGATGAAAAGGCTGAATATCATAATTGTAGCCGAAGGGGCAATTGATCAAAACAACAGGCCCATTACCACTGAAAATATCAAGAATGTAAGTACAGACGTGTCAAAGTGTGGCCAGCCTCCACTGCCTCCTGTCTGACCTCTACTACTGTACCGCTGCCCTGGTCTGGCTTTGACTCTGTTGCTGTGTTTCTGGAGTGCTACACACTTTGTAGTTTGGTAAGATGGCTGTCACGATACTACCACTGCTGTAAAACCCTGAGCAGGTACCCTCACTAAACTCACACCCAGATATTTATAAAGTGTCTACCTGCTACACATACTTTTGAATTTCACGTGGGTATATTTGACTGCTTACTGAGGTTATCATCACCCTGCACTAACTGTTTTTAATTTAAAAAAGGCAAGCATTTTGTTTTCTCAACCACTACTTGAATATTAGGATTTGAATTAGCCATACTCGCTTGGGATCTTAACTAAGAGCTCCCCGCTAACATGACTGAAAAATTAGAATGGCTTGCTCAAGCTTTGCTGTTTCCCCTTCTCTGAAGCTTTTTTCTACTGTGTTGGTGTTTCAGTGTTTGACGTGCGTGTTCATGTTTGTTTGCATATTCCAAAGTGAAGTTCAATCAGACATCATTTCACAGTATTACTCATTTGCATGACGTATATGTAGGATGTGTCATTTCAATGTAACAAAGCTATAAAGTATATTATATTTTTTCTAAGACTTAAGCATTTTCCCTCCTAGCTTGTTGTCAAATGCCTGGGTTTCGACACACGAGTGACAATCCTGGGGCATGTGCAGAGAGGAGGAACCCCATCTGCTTTTGACCGCATCCTGGTAGGTACACCACTCTGATAATCATAATTATTGCTTCAACCCTTATACCAATATTGATAATACACTGATTTTCAAACCATAATATTGTCATGTTCTTTTCTTTGGCTACAATCTACATGCTTGGCCTTTTTAAGTTAAACACTTTTAACCTAATGTACACTTTGAGAGTGCGCTTTATTCAAGTTATTTTGGTAGTAAAAGTCCAGTTGTCCCGTGCATTTCCCGTTTAATCCTCTGTGTGTCTGAGGAGAAATGGCCCCAGGTTTTAGGTTAAGCACATTAACAGATTTATGGCTCAGCATGTGAAGCAGCGCATCACAGCGAGTGACAAATCTCTTCATGTTAACCACAAACCAACGAAAAATGGAGGCAGAAAATAAAGATTTAGTGGAGGATCGTCTTAAATTTCACTTAATTTTGGGAAGGACAACTTGGCATGTATACAGGAGAAACAAAGGAGGCTGATGCATTTGTGTGTGTTTGTTTTTGCTCACACAGGCCAGTCGTATGGGTGTTGAGGCTGTTCTCGCCCTTCTGGAGACCACAGCTAACACACCAGCCTGCGTGGTGTCTCTGCGCGGGAACCAATCGGTGCGCCTGCCTCTGATGGAGTGTGTGCAGATGGTAGGCCCTGGACTCGACTGAACACAGACTAAACATTCAACACAAAACACATATTTACAAAAACTCTGGAGGCCCGAGAAGAGGGGGAAATTGCAAAGCACATAAATACAAACAGTGTGAAATGACTGAATGGGGGCGGGTTAGAGAGCCCTCAGTAATGATGACAAACAGCACAGCCCATTGGGCCTGAAGTGGCTCTAACATCCACAAGAGAGTCGTATTGTTTGAGAGGCATTTGTTTCTGGATAATGATTATCTGAAGCATTTGGCAGGGTCACCATAACTCTCTGCTGGATGGTGATGTAATAGCAACCCATCTCCATAGAAACGCACAAAGAGGCTTTATTGTGGTACTCACACGCATGCCAGTTTCGGGTTATGATAGAACTGAAGGGAAAATCTTGCCACAGTGTTTTATTATTTGCACATTTTGTGAAGTGGTTTTAGAGTGCAATTCCATTACAGGTCAAACCAAGGTTACATATTAACTCTGTTATTGGCTGGAACAGATAACATGTTTACTCTTAGGTTGTCTCCTTGAAAAAGAAGGGTGGCTAGTCCTTACTCTGGTATAATAACCTAAAAGATAACAATACAAATTCCTACAGATATTTAATCTTGGCTGATATAAATGAAACAAAATGCCTTTGCTTTTTAAGATACAGAAAGTACAGTTTGTGAAATAATAAAAAATTAAAAACACTTGTCTCCTTTCCTTAGACTCAAGAAGTGCAGAGGGCCATGGACGGGAAGCGGTTTGAGGAGGCGGTGAAGCTTCGGGGCAGGTATTACTGACAGCTCGCTTGGACCAATCGTCACTCAAGATAGAGACATCAGTTTGGTGTTGCCCAACGTAGACAGACAGGTGTACAGAGATAGTGGTGCTATTTAGAACACCACCAGTCTTGCTTATACATAGCCAAAAATGAAGCCGAAAATGTCTCTCACTATTGTTAACATGATTGTATCTGTCATGTTTTACTGCAGGAGTTTTGAAAACAACCTGAGGACGTACAAACTGCTTGCTCACCGTAAACCAGAATCCGAACTGCCAGTCGTAAGTCAACCCTTGACATTTCCTGAAAACAGTGACAGGGCTGTCAGCTCTGTTTGCTCACCCCTCACACACACAACAAGCAGAAGTATTTTCCCTCACACATACAGTAGTATTCAGCACCATGCCTGAAGATGTGTTTTTTAGAAAGATGAATTTTCCTCCAAGAAGCCACTTGTGGAGGAAACTTCTGTGTAGCAATGCAGTGGGAGTCACCGACTCATGAAGGAGACACGGGACGAGCAGGAGTTCTGATGTCAAACACGGATCTTTAATACAAGCATCGGCCGGAGAAATTCACATCACAAGTCACACAGTCAAAGGTTCTGACTGCACTGGTGGGTTGCCATGTCAAATCTGATCAGCCTCGAATCTTGGTAGACCCTTTAACTAATTTACAGAGAGTCAAATCCACATATTGGGGATGGGCGTAAACACCTGGAGACACGGGAGATGTCTCTCACATCTGTGGAGCTTAGAAAGCCAGCGTTCTCATAGTCGTAAAACCCCCCCTGTCGCCGCCAGGTCAGGCCATAAAACCTGGTAGTATCAACATACGACTCCATTATCACATTCCTTACGGGAGATTAGAAGCAGGGATGGTCGTAAATGTCAACACACAGGATAGGTTAAATGTCTAGGAGTAAAGACAGAATTAATCCCTAACATACATGAACAAAAATGTATACAACACACCAAAGGAAAGGTTTAACCCGAAAAAACATAATAAGATCTCTTTAATTATAGCCATGGTATTTAACTTTTTATGTTAAATACACACAACTTTAACTTTGAGCCGTCAGTTGGCTTTACTTTTGAATATAAGTTTATGTATTTCAGACTGCATCATCGTCTGCAATATTGTCCTAAGCCAAAACAAAATGAATCCAGCTGTTTATAGTTGACCTGCAGTGCAGTGCCTGCTATGCAGGACAGCAGGAGAGGCTACTTATGTCTCTGACAGAAGTGGTCCTCCATACAAAAGGCCTTTTCACAACAAACATTTATATCTGCCTACTTGTGCAGAGTTTGTTTAGGTGTCTTTTGTGATTGTGATTTTACTTCCAAAAACGACCTGCAATCAGCCATTTTGACATTATTGTAATGATGTCGTCACTGTTGAAATGACAGATAATAAAAAATGATCGCTGACGGATGAGGACAAGGACAGCCTGGGGGGGAGAAGTGAGATAATTTGACTTCCCTCTGAACCACCTGTAGCATCAGCCAGATGGTGGATTTGAAAGAGAGAGTGTGTGTGGGGAGGGACGTCTTACTGATTATGTCCCTACTCACTTGAGGGTGCATCTGGTGTATGAAGAGTCTGTTCATGCTGTTTCTCTGCAAGCGGCAACCACGACTATTTTTTTGGGGTGTTTAATATGAAGCACTGTGTCTGTGCGATGAATTAGGCATAATGAGGCAGTCCACAAAGATGTCATGCTGCATACTAAGTTGTAGTTTTTTTGGTACAGTAGGATATCTCAAATGTAGCTGAAAAGCTTCCTTGTTACTTTTTCACTCCACAATTCTTTTGCAGCATTACATGTATGACAAAACATGATTTCTGTTTATTCTGTATGCAAGCTTAGTCAAGTTTGTTATTTACTTTATCCAAACCTTTCCCCTCTATGACCTCTCGAGGTTTATCAGAGGGTAACAGGTTGCAGAGAACGCCTAGCCCGGCCGGGGAGTGTGGAGCGTAGTCTCTGACCCACTCCTACCTCTGACAAATTCAGGTTCAAATGGGGACCTTTTTCCCTGTGTGTGCCTCTCCACCTCTGTTTCCTACTTGTTACTTGCTACCCTTTTCCCTCAACCTATCCTAAGGGAGTGCATGTATGTAGACACGTTAGTTTAGCTGCTATAG